ACACATTGAACTGATGAGGATGAGATAGATGTGTGTACGTGTTTTTTTATGTACAGACATGCAGCACACAAAGTGACTTAGTCATCGATGGATCTCTAAGACATTTTCGTATTATTTTAAGATGAATAGATTGAAAATTAACCTTTTGTCATCATACAAATGAGAACCACGTGTTACTTTTTGTTTATACAGAATAGGTAAAACTTATAATTAATAATTCAAAAGTCAATCATATCCAAATAAAATACGTATCCCAACAGTGGGCCTGGAAGTATGTACCATGAAAGAATAATCAATGTTAAAGCACACTATGAACGTTAACCACGTTTGAAACTGGAATTTTCAGCATAAAGAACTAGTCAATAGAGATTCTTTGAACTTCACTTCCTTATTGATAAAATGTAAAGTGTGTGTGTGTGAATTTCTACTCTCTTGGAGACGCGCATCTGTATCATTTAGCATAAAAGTTTGATAAAAGTCAACGCATTTACTTATAACATACTTCATCGATGGCGATAGATTACCAGTGAGAACAGAAGCAGTTATAATGCCTTCTGTATACGCTGAAACCCATTTGAGTATGTGCTGATGAAGAGTCCCAAACTAGGACAAAACTTCCATCCAGTACTCACAGGTTTTCCTGTGATTCTCTAACTGTAGTCGGTTAGTGTTCAGTCCTTTTTATATTTAACACTCTATTATCACTTTGACTGGAAACTAACTAGTGTCATGTATCTAGTCTTAAGTATACTGCAGACTGAAATCTTTAAGTCAAGTTTGCAATGTGTCCACGAAGCTAGGTGGCTCGCCATCACGCAGCACTCAGAAGTGTTGCTATTAGATGGTTATTGTATAGGGTCAATTTTGAAGATAAGTTAATTTTTTAATAGTATGATTTGAAATCGTTTCACTAAACCAGTCTACTTTGAGTGGCGTTTCAGTAGAGGTGATAGCTATTGCAGGCATCTAAAAAAAAATGTTATCAGTTTTATTCAAGTGTTGGTTTACAGGGATTTGATCTGATTGGTTAAGTGATTTGATCATGATCTGCCATCGGTTAGAAAACCATTGGAAAACCAAGGAGTACTTGACTGCTGTTTCGTCCAACCTTGGGACTCTTTATGAGAACGCACTCACCAGACTTCGAACCTAGCACCTTGCGGTTATAAGGCGAGCTAATGGACCACTAAGCCACTGGGACCAGACTCAGTGGCCCATGAATTCCAAGTTCTGCCACTTCATGATACAGTTGGAGGGGGGGGGTTACAGCGGGTCGGGTGGGAGGACAGATACTCGCCGATGACATAAACTAGTGGTTGCGCTTTGTCATGCATCAGTTTTATTATTGTAAAATAGTAATTTTATGAAATATCAATCAAATTAATATGGAAACCTTGATTCCTAGATTTAAATTTTCAACCTACGATTACCAATTTAAACATCTTTTTTTGAAAAATTCAAAACAACTTTCTTCTCTGAACTCTTTAATATTTACCAAAGAATTTTACATACGCTTAATAATATCTTAGTGTTGCTGATCACAGTAATAAGTAGTGTATTTCTGCAAATGACAAAAAATAAAATGTGTATATGAAGTAAAAAAATGACTACTGATTAGTGAATGAAGTAGATTATTCCAAAAGCATATGGAAAAGCTACATTTCCATATCTTGAAATAAAAGTATTCTTTTCAATATGTTTCTCATCAAGTTCTTACAGTTATGAAATAAAATTCCTAGTCTTTATAAATTTTTAGAAACTGAATTGTTTACTGGAAAAAATTCTTCATTTGGGCAGACTTTTATTCTTGGATAGATTATTTATGGATATATCCTACATATAAATGCTATACACCATTAGGTTTCTGCATTCACTGCCTACTTTCACAACATGGGGGGGGGTGGGGTGGTGGTACTGTAACTCTTGCATAGACAAACGAAGAGTTTTGAATCCTAAAGAAGTAAGTAGAATTACAGAATACATCGTTTTCTCGACTGCGCAGTTGATTTCCGCGTTCCTGGAATGCCCTCTTTGCTCTAATTCATATTCATTTGAATTAAAGCTTTAGTTTTTATTCTAATGAATACAACATATCCTCAGATTGTATTATTTTCAGTGATAAATAAAGAAAAAAAACATTTCTACCTAGTTATCTCCATGTTCTTCAAAACGTATCAGAGTAGATGAAAATGAGCAATGAAACGTATACACATAAATCAAATGATTGTTGCTGATTTACTTTTCACGAAATTACAGATTTCGTGATTATTTCGTTTTATTTTATTTCTAAGAGAAGTGAATTTATTCCACTCTGAAAATGCTAAAAATTCTACTCTGCAAAGAAACTTTCATTGGAGTGAAGTTATTATTATTAGTAGTAGTAGTATTCAGAAGTTGAAGTTCCCCCTGCGAAAGTAACTTTTTATGTACTCCACTTGTATTAGTATTTTGACTGAAATATGTCCAAAATAATATTCAGTATTACAGAATATCACGCATCGGTGGCATAGCGGTAGAACGCTCGCCAACCAAGCCGCATGTGTTTTGGTGTTTCGAACCATGGCTAACGCACTCCTTTACCTCTCTAAACTGGTAATAAGACCGGTGAAGAGGGAAGGTTGGGCATGAGGCCAGTGACCCCATCTCGTAAAAATAAGCATGACTGTTACCGAAACTTCAAGCCTCTATCTTGATGCCCCATGTTCCACTGGGAACGTGAAGGAATAAAGAAAATAAAAAAAGTGCAGAATACTTAAAATAATGCTATATGCTGATATAATGTCGCAGCCCCTTTACTTTTCTGTTGTCCAAATGTTTTAACTGGGAACTTCCCTACCCTGAAAACCCAGAGTCTGATACCGACAATCCAGTTCATTCGCAACTTGCTCCTTGTATCTCTTCCGGCATAACCAGAAGAAATTTCATAGGAATCTATATAATCTATATAAAAATTCTGCCTCACCATATTTAGCACGGTTTTTGTGTGAAGAGATAAATGTCAGAAGAGAACTTATAAATTATTAAATTCAGTAGGGTGAATTGTGCATCCTGGATTCCACCGCTAGTCACCATCCACCAGGTGACTTCAAGAACTTATAAATTTCTTAAATCGGTAATTGAACTGCAAAGTTAGAGCAAAGATTATTATTACTGAATGTGTTATTTATTATATTGTTTATTTATAATTCATTATGTCCCACTCACTTTCAGTTTTATAGTTTATTTTATTATTTATTATTTTTACGTTTTGTGTATTTTTATATTCATAAAAGGAGCTAAATTGTGGCAATAATGGTATAAAAACGATGAAAATTCCACTCTGTATAATTATAATAATTTATTAAATATTCCTACAGGGAACAATTTTGTTCGCTTAAAAGTATTTTTCTAAATTATAATAATGGTTTGTTATTATTTTCACTGACGTTTGAGATAAAATCAGAGGGTGTTTTCTTAATACTATAGGAACTAAGTTAGTAGACACTTGGTTTCGACACTTGAAAATGCTTTCAGTATTCATGATATTAATTTAGTCTGACGAATTCTGTTTTATCCTTTTTGCTAATGGTTTGATCTGAGTATTTTTTGTAACTTGTTATCACATTCGCTACAATAATAGTCAACTAGCTTCTATTGGCAAAGGTTCCTTACCACCTTTACATGAACAATGATTCCACTCTCTTTGATTGTGACTACTGAATCTGGAGTGTTACTTTCTTGGAAGATATTCATTAGGAGATAATGGACGCTTATCTCCTAACAATTAAGCATACTAGTTACTCTGTCTTTTCAAGAGGACAAATTATGCCCCACTAATATCTTGGATTTCTCAGCTTATTAACACTCGGGAGGCTTTTTGTTCGGACAAAGATTTCGGCTTTCATCAACATAGAACAACTAATACTTATTGAGGGATTATAACAAGCCTTTCACTGTTTTTCCATTCCTTTGCGTTCCAACTGGAATACAGAGCTATAAGATTTAGCTTTGGAATTTCATTAGCAGTTTTCTTAATCTGTGAGGTTGCTATCTTCATGTTCAGCTTTCCCTCTTTACTCAACTTACTACCTACTAAGCGACGTTTAGTAGTGTTTCGGTTGGTAATCGAGTCCCAGACCGTGTACATGGTTGGTGATTATTCTAACACTGAACCAACAACACACTCTTATATGCTACGAGATTAATTATTTTCAGATAAAGCGAAGGTCCTGGGTTCGTGGGTTCGTGCTTTGATGAGTCTCAAACTGGGACGAAACAGCTGTCCAGTACTCCCTTGTTTCCAGTGGTTCTCTAACTGATATCAATCTGTGGTCAATCATTTCCCTACAAATCAACTCTTAAAAATAATAAATAAAGTGGTCCAGTGGATAACGCTTTGGAGTTTGAAACTATGGGCACTGGGTTCAATCCTTGGGTGGGAACATCATCACTCGCTGCGGGACGCAGGTGCACCCAGTTGACGAGTCCCTAATAGGGCGAAACGCACATCCTGGATTCCACGGCTAGTCACCATCCACCAATTAACTTCGAATTACATGCCCAGACATTGTCGAAGCATCTGCACAAGAAGACGATATGTCAACCTGAGATTGAGCACTTCGGTCCAATCAATCTACGGGAAAAATCTAAAATTGAATTAAAAACCTGAAGATGCCCCAACAAATTAAATGAAAGGAAATATCATTTCGGAAAGAAATTTGTTTACACCTTCCCCTTATTTTCATTCAGTATGTATTTCTATGTTCAAAATCGTATTACAGAGTAAGTAGGTCATAGTTAATAAATCAGCATGAAAATTTATCTGTGTACATGTTAAAATTCAACTAGAATAAGCTAGCAACAAAAGTGGAAATCCCAAACTATTCCAATAGTGGAATCTCCGCGTGCCAGCCAATAAAAATGAAGCAAATAGAACTTGTGTCTAGTAACTGAATTCTTATTGGCTAATCCTGACTTGCCTATCTGGTGGATGAATATTCATTCCCCTTATAAAGCGAAAACTTTAAAAAAATGTTGATATCCACTAGCTGAAATTAAGGATTATTAAACTGCTACTAGGCTGTATATTTTACAAAAAAAAAATTGGAATAATGCAAAGGAATATTAAACGGTCAACTCGTGGACCATTACGGGCAATTAATAACGCCCTATCAACTAATACAAATGTGATATCATGTAAACCAGAAAAAGCTACCGATATGGTCACTAGTCATAAAGTAGTGGAAAATGAATCTGATCAAAGGAATCAATCACAGTAAGTTGATTTTTTTTTACAAAAACATTTTTTTTAAAACAAATATGAACAAAACTTAGCTACCACGCAGGTAAATATTATTTTTTCACGAATAGTTAATATATACTCTGAAAGAAGGAATGAATTCCGAATGTTTTTTATAGTTATATAGTTTCATAAATAAATTATATAAAATTATTGAACAAACTGTTTATCTTAGGCTCTTTAAATCTGAGTAAATGTATACTTCGGTTATAAATTACCAGAGGGAAGTAACTAGAGGTTTAGTAGAGGCATCCCCGAAAGCCAAAAGGTGTATATTTGTCTGATCTTCTGGTCCTGCCCTCTAACGTCATGATGGAATACTTCGGACATGCCGAATTCTCATAATATCAGCAAAATAAGTCAAGTCCATCTTTCACAGTCTGATGTGTCACAGTGACACCAAGTATCGGTATGTACGGTTGATCAAACAGCGAAAAATTCATGAATAAATTTAACTCTTAGTACAATTCGCATCGTTTTGTGTTTGACAGTTGCTTATTTCTAAGGATGTACAGATTTCTATATCACTTAATAAATATTTGAACGGTCTGAGAAATTCGATACATTCTGAAATATATAGGTGTATCATTGGCCACTTATTCGCTACTGCCTAGCAATTTCACAGAAGTATTCAAGACTTTACGTATTTAAAATTTAGGAAATCACCTGTTATATTCACTTGTAAAAATTCCTTCCCCCCTACGTCAACTATGAGCCTAGATACTTATACGTGACTTCAACAGGAATTTATCTTTGAATTAAAATATGTGACATATTTTCAGTCGTCATGCTTCAATACATGATACTATTGAGGTCAACTGTATAAGTACCATATTAAAATAGGAATACGAACTATCCCGATGTAATAAAGTAATGCGTTATCCTTCCCATTTATGTCTACGGCATTGGGACGATCACAAACAGGTTGCTTATGACTAACAAGTAAATATATTAGTAATACAAAGAATAAATATTTTAATAAATATTTTAGCATCCTGTTTCACTCTAAAAAATTTCAAGTCTATACATGTATGACATGACTACGTGAATATATATATATATTTCGTTCAGAGGGGTGAGGTGATACTTCTAACTGTCATATCCTGCCTATTACGTCATACTAAGCATGTGATTTTTTCACCCTTCATAAATTACGTCACATTTCATCCGGTTAGGGGACAGGATGCATATGCCGTAATAGGCCTATGAATAAGTAGAACACACACCCCTCCAAATAAATGCCCTATGAAATTAAGGATCAATATGTGTGGTCATTTTTTGTGTTTAAAAAATTGTATTTTTATAGGTCAACATATTCTTCCCTATAATAAATTTCTCAACTACATAAAAGTATATAAACCATTAAAATCACTCCATAATTCCTTATTGAATTTGTTTTTTAGCTTAAGAATGGATAACAATCAACAACCTACAACACCTGTATTGCGTGCATCGTGTCGACTATCACAAACAAAATCATCGCAATCATTGTATGATATTCTACCCATGCCTTTACGCTCTTCATCTTGTCGATCGGAAAAACAATATTTGAAGTCCGATATTCGTCGTCACTTTCCAATTCGTACAAGTGGGTCAAAAACCTCATATCAAGAAAATAAAACTCCGAAGTGTTTTGATGACACTCTTGATTCATTAACAAATGCTTCAGTAATTATGAATTCCTCCTTATCTTCCCTTGATTCCGCATCTCCAATTGGTGATATCCCGCGTAAACGTCATCTTGGCACTTGGCAAATCTTAACAGAATCAAAACAATCCCGACTGAGTGAAGGTCAGCAGTGTGTGAAGCTAAGAAATGACAGTGATACAATTTGTCTTGTAATGGGTTCTGAAGTAAAGACTCATCCAAGATACTGGATGAGAAAAAGTGCAGCAGAAATTCCTGTAACACCTGAACAAACTTCTCCTAAAATTACTCCAAAGAAACATCTAGCTCCTATTTGTCCAGTCCCAATGCCAAGTGGATTTCCACTTCAGTTACCGATTAGATATTCATCTGTTTCATTACCATGGGAATGTGGTAACTACTCCAGACCTAGCTTGTCACGCACTGTTGAAACACAGACTTCCCCTATTGATTCAAACAGTAAGTTATTACAACTTTTAAGTGTTTATATTTGTTCAAGTAATACATATTATTTGGTATTTTTACTGTATTAATGAATTCCTAGTAATCTTGTGTCACACATAATATCTCGAACATTGCTTTATTCGTTATTTCAGAAATTCCTCAAACTGAGAAACCCAAAGGAAGGAGACATACAGGGTGAGTTTTATGTTAATTTGCATATAATGTATCATTATGCTCAGATATTTATGTAGCCACGTTAGTTTTTATGCTTTAAATGGACAGTATTGCCTGGATTATCGAATGTCCATAATGTGCTTATTTTTGGAAAACTGGTGGCCAGATCGTTTAAAGGATTAAATTTAGGTCAACTAACATAGTAACAAGTAGATTATTAATTGAATGTAAACAAAGGATTAAAAATGTTTACTATTCAGGTCACCGATTAAGTATCTTATCTGTAAACTATGAACTGATTACAGACAGTCAAATATTATAAACTAACTCGTTTTCTCTCTCCTTTGATCACTTACAGAATCGGACTTCGAAGCTCAGGTACAGCTCAAGTACTTCAAAATATTCGCCGGAAATTTGGTCATCTCAGAAGAGCTATAAGTGCAGATAGACTAAATAAAAATTCTTCCACGTCATTTGAAAATTGTAATCAGGATCGTATATCTTCTTCACCAAATCCATATAATACTAAACAGTCTACTACAAATAATGCGAATTCCGAGGTCCACTTTAACCAAGATCCTTCTTACAAACTCACATGTCATATTACACGTAAAAATCCTGATGGTTCAGTACAAATTTCACTGAGACGTTCATCAACTAATGGTCAATTTGGTTTTTTCATTGCACGTGATTCAAAAGGTAAGATTTCTTTCGATTAAATCAGGAAGTTTTGCGACAGGTTGATGTGGGATTGCATATAACTTTGAATAGGGCACGAACCATGACACATTTGAACTAAATACATAGTCATTTGTCTCAATCTCCAAATGGGTTGCAAACTTTATCTTTAGCATGAATTAAATTGGTTTTACGCACGTCTCTTTTACTAGCCATCGAAAAAACGACAAATACTCTAAATTCCTTTTTTATTACATTTCAGGTATTTATGTCAGTCGGCTAGGAAGTGTCCGATGTGCCGCAAAACTCTGGGATGTATTTCATGTTGGTGACAGAATATTAGAAGTTCAAGGTATACCGTGTGACACTCTTGAAGTGGAAGAAGTTAAAAATCTTATACGAGGATGTGAACTTGTCGAGTTCCGAGTAAAATCATCTCATCATTCAGACTATAAAAAGAATCCATTCCGACTGAGTCTTTCCTGATTTATTTAATGTTTGTATTGTAACCAAAATTTCCTTATTGCCTTTTATACTACTGGCGCTTAACAACAGTAGTATCAGATGTGTTACATCCTGCAACCTAATTGTACATAGACTTTACATTAGATTTTTATATTATGATTTTCTTTAAATTAGATTGTACAGAGGTCAAATTTAATTATTATTATTATCATTATTACTCTCATCCACATTATTCCTATTTTTCTGTAAAAATCAGAGTTTTACAATCTTACTTTTATTTACCTTGAAGATAATTTAAATAAATTTTGATTAATATTTTACTCCCATTTGTACTAATGTTGATTTTATATAAAAGTGTATTTACTTTAAATTACCTATGTCTTTGAATTCATTACACTGACGTGTCCTGTGCAAGGTTATACGTATATATTAATGTTTATCCAAAAAGTTAGGCAGTTTAGAAAGTGCGAAACTAATAAAACTCATAGAAGCCAAATGACTTCAGGAACACGTCCACTGTAAAACAGTACAGAAATAAATCTTTCACATTTCTAATTGCCGTGGCCTAGTAAGAGTTTCTGTAAGAGTTTTCAGTAATTTTCAAAGACGGCATATTTTAACAAATGCGTTAAAGATAAAATCGTCAGGAAATGATCCCTAAAACTAGTCACTTAGAATGTGAAATATCGTATAGTGAGGATTTTCATGCCTAGTATATAAGTGCTTCCTCGTAAGAGTCTCTAGAAGGTTGTCTCCTCATAAGGAATCCATTGGTCGAAAAACTATCACTTTGACGTATATCCGCCAGTAACTTGATCATTTGCTTAATTCATACCCGTGGATCTTATTTGATTTAGACACTGGTCTCCAAATGTATGATATACTCTAATGTCATCTGAAGCTAAGTGTTTGAATACATTAAGTTCAGTCATATTGATTAAGGTTCACTCGAATAGAATAAAAATCTGTAACTGCTTTGCAAGTAACGTTGAATTATTCAGAAATACAATAACAATTATGTAATAAGATCAATCGCGTCGTTGGCACAGCGGTTAGGACGCACACCGACCATGCACATGGTCCGGGGTTCGATCCCCGGCCGACGTACTCATTTACCTGGCCAAGGATGAAATAATGCTGATGAAGAGGGAAGGTTGGACATGAGGCTAGCAACCCCATCCTGTAAAATAAACACTGCTGCAGAAACTTCAAGCCACTAGCTTGAAGCCCTATGTTCCACTGGGGAACGTGAAGGGAAAAAATAATAATATGAGTAATCACTTTATTTCAAACAAAGTAGTTATACAGATTGGAATTTTTACCACTGTACATAATGTAATGCTAGGGATACAGACTGTAATGTAAGCTGTTTTCCGACGTTTATCTCTTCATATAACTCCTGAACACGATATGATATGCTTGAATTTCCATATTTAGCTGCACGTGCATAAATTCTTATCCAAACTACTACAAGAAAAACGTTGAGAGTAAAGTGGATATTCAGTATTCGACAGGATAACTTACGCCAGTTACTTGCAAGAAATTAAAATGCCAACCAACTATAATGTCAGTTAGATGTATATGCCATTAACCCTGCTTACAGTCTTTGGAGTTCAATATAATATAACGTTAGACTTACTGAGAAGTCAAGGGGATAATAAAAAAGAATGGGTGGAATGCATGAGTGAATAAATTTTGAGAGAGAAGAGGTTGAATTGCAACAGAACGGTTCAACTTCCGTTTGTAATAAATCAAATAAAAAATTTTCTTTGAATTCAATAAGATATGAAATGACTAACAACGATTTGAGGAGAAATTGATACCATGATATGCAGTATTCGATAAACTAAGATCTACGATCACCAGACTAATGATAGAAGCCAATTTAATTATTCCCCAAAAGTTATCTAACCAAATTAGAAATTTCAATCTCTGCTTAAATATTGGTCCAATTAATTTCAAAATATCTATCGAAATTGACCAATTTGTTTGAAAGCTTATCTAACTTTCATTTCCAATTTATGATAAACTCACTTTTAGTTGAGTGTAATGAAAAGTCGAAATTACATTGATAATTTGACAATAATTACTTGATAAAGAATGTCTCCAACTATTTACCCAAGGTTATTAGAAATGTATACATTAAGTAACTGGTTGAAATACAGTCATACACACAAACAAACATATTCAAGATGACAAACAAAGTGGTGGACCAACATCTTTCTCTTATTTTACAACAGAGTAACACGTGACAGTCTTTGACTTGATATGATTTTTTAAAAACATGTTATATTTTAGCTGACCTTTCTTATAGACAAGGTTGACATGTTCCCTAGACTGCCATTATCCTATATGCATACTGCTGGTCTTGGTGTTAACTTATTTTTTTCTTGATGAGATAACTTCGCATTGATTCATTGGATCTGAGCAACAAGAAGAAATAAATTAAGAAAACCCTGATTTTACTATATGCTGTTCACTTGTAATTTAGATCAAGAAAATTCTTGTAATTTTTTTTCCCGAGTCGAATTACTCCTAATTTTTTTCTTTACATAGATAAACTTCAAGGTGGGAGATTTTTTTTCGCCTTGCAAATAAGATAACAGTAATTAGATGTTATGTGGGCGCGACAAGCGCTTGTTTCACCCACATGAATTCAATGCAAAGCTACCAGACTTGTCTAACATGTTATCACCTTGTTATCTTACAGTATAATCAGGTAGATGATAGTCCCTATCACATTACAATAGAATTGAATACATGAGTTAATTCGTTTCCGAAAAAAAAGAAAAACAAACGTGTGACTATCAAATGAACCATGTTTTAAAGAGCCGTCGTTAAACTGTGATTTATTCTTGGAAATAACCGCAAAAGAGTAAGATGCCTAAGTTTCTCAGTGATTTAACTGACAACTCAGTCTCAGAAACACAGAACTTTCAAATGGGAATTGATGTGCATGTCGTGGTTTTTGTCCTAAATTAATAAATCGGAATCTTTGTAACTGTGTTAACAATAGAAGTATAAATATTATATAACTTAGATATTATGTTATTTCTATCAGAGTAGACTTGACTCTAATCAATCAAATGCAAAACCGAAAGAGACTAATTTTGTGAGAAGTCTGTTAACATCATGTGTGATTTATTCAATTATCTCAGTCATATGAAATAATCTCAGTTACTTAATAAATTTTGCAATAGCTGAGACACTGAGTCTACAGCTTTCATTTGAATAGATTATAGAGTGAATTTGGAAAAGTATAGCAGTGTTAGGTGTGAACAATACTTGGAAACTATTACGACCGTAACATGTACTTGAACTATAGCGTTTATGTTGCTATGCTCTGAGATCACTTCTAACATACATGGCCATACATCTGAGGTTTCATTGAAAAAAAAATTATCACCAATTATCTGTTCACACCTTTCACTTTTTATGGAAATTCTTACAATTTCTGTTTCTTATAATGATTGTTCTTTCTGGAGTAATTATAAAAACCTTAGTAACTGCCAGTGATCAGAATCGATGTATGATTTAGTTTAACAAGATGGTGTACACTACTGATTGATATCAGTAGCTGGAAACTACTCAGTTCAGGCTTTAGAGCTTCTTAGCCAGGTAAAATCGATTAAAACTCCAGATGCATGATTGACTTGTTTGGGGTTTGAATACTTCTCAACCACTTGTTATGGACAAGATTCTAGAGTGAATAAAAGGCCCAAATGCAACTTGCGTTTGTACAGGGACAAGCATCAGTTATATCAAACTTCATTTTAAATATAGCCTATATTCTAAGTTTGATAGAAATTCGACTATTATATGTTTGTCCAGATGAGTAAATTTAGCGGCCTGCTTAAATCCATGAGCTGCAAGAATTTCCATCTATCAAAAATGCTTAAACTCTTTTTCATTTCTTACTGTTCAAGTCATGCAGCTAAGACAAATGATCACTAAATGAACTTGCATGCATATTTAATTAAATTCCAAAAAAAATCGCTGTACGATTCTTAAAAGAAGTGAAGGAAATATGTGCAGAACTGGTTCTCACTTCCAAAACAACAACACTAAGTTGCATAATATACTTCAGATTATTGCTTTACATGTAAATCCTGTATGATGAGGAAAAATTTTGAAATTAAATACGCTGAGAACTTCTGTACCGTGTGTTGGGATACTGTCTGAAATAAAGCTTATTTTACTTATAATAATAACAGTTACTATCATTTTTTCAAGAGTAGGGTCGTAGTGATTAGATTTGTTTCTACGAGTTTGACCTCCGGTTGATATCAGTTAGAAAACCACTGAAAACCAAAGAGTACTGGCCAGCTGTTTCATCCTAGTTTGGGAATCATCGGATTTTGTGAACAGCACTGAGATAAAACCCTAGTTCATCATGTCCAGTAAAATTTGCCAGTGGATATTTTGTTCAACAATCTTAAATATTTTTTGAGAACAAGAGTAGAGCATTAGTTCATTATTGTACATTGAGTATTGAAATGAAGTAAGTACATTTGAAGTTTTGATTTGTAGAGAGCCGACTGATTTCAAGTGTGATTGCAAACAAAATTAACTGACAGAACCAATGAAAACCAGAGAGCAGTGGATAGATGTTTCACTCAAGTTTAGGACTCTTCATCGGTATACACCCAAGGCCTAACCATGGGTCGAATCCAAGACATTGAGGTTACGAGACGAGTTTTATGGCCCTCTAGTCACTAGGGTAGAATTCAATAAACCATCAGTTCCAACTTTCACCGATTTGTGATATATAACGCGAGACCACCAACAAATGTCGTTGGTGAGTATTTGTCGTTCGACTGAGCATGGTAGATTCGATTAATCATGATTTCTCACAAAAACTTCTGGCAACTACATCCGGTAGTTAGTCACCTGTAAGAAGTAATCCTTATAAACCAATTGTTGAAAAATTAACCTGATGCTCGCTAGTGACTGGCTACAGGATGGAGTTTCCTGGAGTTCTAGTGAGAAGTCGTGACCAGTGACGTCCATCCAGTCAAGTATGAAGATGGATGTCCCGCCGATGACACTGATTGGTGGTCGTACTACAATCGCGAATCGGTAGAAGTTAGAGTTCATTAACTGACCACTGAGTCTGTTTCCAGTGTTTGAGTGGTATACGAGCTTGCGTTGTAACCGGAAGGTCCTGGGTTCGAACCCTGGGATGGATGCGTACTGATGAAGAGTCTTAAACTGGGATGAAACAGATGTCCAGTACTCCTTGGTTTCTACTGGTTCTCTAGCTGGTATCAATCCTTGGGGAAATTATTATTATTACAATTGCATTTTACTTAGGCTAAATGTGGTGAGATAATGTGTTGTAATAAATCTTTCTAAC